TTATCTTTATCTTAAGTAAGAGTGAGTTACCATTAGGAGTTTGAGTTCAAATTGGAGTTTGAGTTTAATTAGGAATTTACCTCTGTAATCTCCTATTTAAGGAGCTACGAATTGAAATAAAGGCATTCAGTTTTCCAGTCAAGAAAAGAGTGAGGAGAGTTTGGGTGGTCTCTTGGACAAACACCCTCTTAGGAGAGTTCGGGTGGTCTCTTGGACAAATCACCCATTTAGTTTCCGCAATAGGGTCTGCACGCAAGGGAAGGCGCAAGGAGAAGCAGGGCTTTCGCACCGTGGACTGGCCCGTGACGGGATCCTATGCGCGGGGACCATAACAACTCCTTCCAAGACCCCAGACAGATGGGACCAACATTGGATAATGGCCTTAAAGGCAGAAAGATCTTTACCGTTTATTTTATGAATTGTGTTTCTAATAAGATTAGTCCATGTATTTTTGCTATATAAAAGGGATTTCATAAGATGAATTCATAGTATTTAGGCTTACAAGAAATGGTAAAAAGATAATTTATTGCAATAAAAGGTTACAACTTTCTGAGTTCTGGATAGACATCTAAAAAGGAACACGGCATCATGCTAACAAGGCCTATATCAAGAGAATAACCTTTTTAGAGTTCATCTCCTAGCCCAGGTGTTCCCCATAAAGATTATCCACATAATTCATGTTCTGGTTCAATGATCAGCTACACGTTAACTGTTCTAGGCATCCATCTGAATGGGGCATTCACGCTTTCAGAAAAGGATTTTCATTTTCATTTTAAATATTATTGAAGGCTTGAACCTTGAGAAATTAACTGAGGAAATGGAAAACCTCAAGAAAATATGTGGAAAGAAATGTTTTGGAGATTTGTGAAATCCTATGATACCCAAATACCTATACATGCCTGGTCCTGGTACATGAATCCCATATATTTCCAAAGATTTATGTCTTCCCAAATTTAATTAAATTTCTAACATGTACTGATTTCTTTATGGTATAATTTGTTGAAATATAACATTTTTCATACTTAAGAGTGTTAATGGTATAGAGTATATTCTAGGTTAGTCCATGCAGTATCCGGGCATGTATTGGGCAATTTTAGGAAATGAAGAACCATATCACCAATTCCCATTTCCGTGTTTCTATCAGTATCCATATATGGGCAACATAGGTGACACCATGAAATCTGCAATACCAATGCTCAACTTATGAAGACAATGCCTTAAAAGGGTGGTCTGTAGAGTTTGTGTTGGAACTTTGGAGTAATTTAAGTGACTTCCATTTATCATTTTAAAATCATTGTTGCTGCAAATATTGGCAGGCTAGTCATCATAGCTTGCAATACACCAATGCATTTTCCCATCTTGAGTTTCTTGATGCAATGCAAGAAAACTATAAAAAGTTAACTATGAGACTTAATGATGGTATTATTGGTCTTATCCTTGGTCGTTGGGGCTTGATGATTGCATCTCTTTCCTTTCTATGCTTTGAGTCTACGATCTTCGAAAAAACTGCAAGATGTATTTTCCAGTTAAGGTGATCATTTGCAAGTGGAAGGGTCTAGAGGAGCTAGGGGCAGGCCAGAATGAAAATGTATTGAGTTAGTAGAAACACTTGATGATCCATGATTTAAAAATGGATATGACACTGAATAGAGTGGAATGGCAGAACATGATTCATGTAGCCAACCTCCATATAGTTGAGACGAGGCTTAGTTGAGTTGAGTTGAATTCTGTACATTTAAGTTTTTCTTCGCCCCTGGCCTCCCTTCAATCTGTTCATTTTCAATAGGGATATCTATTATTCAACGAGGTTAAATAGGATACTTCAACACAGAATGACAAGAACCAAAACCATTTTCTATCTTGTTCTGTGACTGGTGACTGCATTATGCTTACTCAGTAATTATTGTTTTGGTTTTGTTTGCCCTTGGATCATAATATTTGATATTTAATGATGTGCATTTTTTTATAGGTAATTGATAAGGCAGTGCCTGCACTTACAGACTTGGCAGAGATTTCAACTCTGGGTGATCACAAAAAGCTTGGGGATTCTATTATTAATGTTCTTCAAGATTGTATGCAATCACAAGGGACATCACGCAACTCTCTCAGTAGCCGTACAAAAGAACAGATTGATGAAATGATAAATTCCAGACAGAGATTGAAGTGGGAGAAGAATCTGCTGAAGGAGGATCTTCATATCAAGCAGGCTGCAGCACTAGTTGTCAAACTGGAAGGCAATTCTCTATTTTCTTCCGGAAATATATCTGGAGCTGCAACAAAGTATTCTGAAGCACTGGCACTATGTCCAATGAGGTCCAAGAAGGAGAGAGTTGTATTATACAGTAATCGAGCTCAGTGTTATCTTCTTTTGCAACAACCCTTGGCAGCAATTAGTGATGCTACACGAGCACTATGTCTTCACAACCCTCCTAATCGTCATGCCAAGAGCCTGTGGAGAAGAGCACAGGCATATGACATGCTTGGCTTGGCAAAAGAGAGTTTGTTAGATGCCATTCTTTTCATAAATGAGTGTTCTCAGTCTAACGACCCTGAGCTTTCCATGAGGCAAAACAAGGTTCCTGATTATGCTGAACGTTTAGTCAAGAAGCAGATGCGTTCGGCATGGTTATTTAGAGAGGCAGCTATTAAACACGGGGGTGTCCATTGTGAGGGTGAAGCAGGTGACATCTATGGACAAGATGCTGATGATTCTGAGTGGGAAACAGCAAGTGAAAGTGACATAGGAAATGATGGGCAGGGAGATATAGGTGATGAAGACACTGAATGGAAAAATGAGGATGAAATGAAAAACAAATACGAGAAGCCTTCAATAAAAGGTGCAAGTTTTCTAAATGTTTCAACCTTTACATAACTTTTAGATTAATTATTTTATATAGTAATTTCCATCAAGGATGTGCTGTCATTTAGTCAATGTAGATGATCTGAATTCACTCACCATTTAGTGTGTCCTAGTTAGGAGATTTTTTAGGTCAGCCATGAATGTAATGAGAAAGTGGTGGCAATTTGATCGTCACATGCTTTCTTTTGCTGGTACAGTTAATGAGTAGCTCTGGTATTTTTTATTTTCACACTGGCAAGTTGCAATAAACTAATATGGTTGGGCTTTGAACTTTGATATTGTAATTCTCCTTGTGGGGGCACCAGATGCTTTGATATTTGTCATTTCAGGATATTCTGTTTTGAACCGTGTAATAACCATGCATATTACTTAGAATGTTAATTGAAAGTTTTCTACTTATAATGCATTTATTTTTTTGGGCATTATTATGCTTGCTCATTATCATGGATTTAGACATGGACATTTGTATTCATTAGAGAATCTTTTCATGAAAAAAGAATCTTTCCATGTTCACAATATGTTCTTTTTTGTTATTGTTTTCTTATTTTTGGGAGGGGGCAGCATGGGCATCAGATTTGAAGCAGGAAGAATTGCAAAACTTTGATATTAGATTTGCCAAATTTTACTTTCTTATAGTGTCTTCAAACTGGAACAATTAGGAATCAAACTATATCAGGCACCTGGCTTTCCTTACTCTGCATATAGAATACTTTGAGAAATTCTGTGTTTCTGGCTGCATTAGGCATGCCAGAAAGTTAGGCAAAAATGAAGTAGGTGCAATTTGAATAAGAAATCAATGTTGAAAACATATCTTTGAAGTTTGTTAATCCATAGTTGTCAAGGGGATGCCTAGGCGACAAGGCGCCCTTGGAGGCTCGCCTTGCCTATTTGTACAATGTATTATAAAATATTTCTACGTTCTTAATTTTTTGAGATTATAGTTATAAAATGTACACTATTAAACTAAAATATTCATTCTGTTTGTTTATGTACTAATTTTTTTTATTTTCTTATTTGTTAGGGTTTAATCAACACAGGCATGCTAATCGAATCCTCAAAGACTTCAAAACCCGAACCAATAAGTGAGGAAGAACTTAAAATTTTGTCTAATCAACACATTTCTTCTTCCACGTCTTCTTCCTCCACCTTTTCTTTTCTTCTTTTCCAATAATAAAAATAGGGGTTCAGCCCCTATATTTTTTGAATTTTCTTTTCTTTCTTCTTTTTCTTCTCATGAATATGTTGATTTATGTACTTTAACGTGAAATTTATTCTTTTCTTATGAAAATTATGGATAATTATTAAGGAAATATGGATATGGAACCTAGGGAACTACCTTAGGTTCCATGGTTTTTACTAAAAGAATCCATCGCCTATGCAACTAGGCGACAAGGCACCCCCTTGTTGCCTAGCCTCGCCTTGGTGCCTTGATAACTATGTTTTAGTCATAAAATATCATGTGAGATAACTCAACTAATCTAAGCCGTTTTTGAACTGTTTGGGGCCTGCTACATAAATCTTATTCATTAAGAGCCATGCCCTCAGTGAAGAAGAGATGAGTTTTCTTAGGCACTCTAAATTAATTTTGACTCTCACTATTAATTTGTGAAAAAGTACCATATCTGGGTGCATGGATTTAGAGATGTCTTGTAATGTGCTTATATATATTATTGTGCAATGGGAAGCTAACATTCATGATGTAGGAGCTGAAGAATCAAAATTGGAATTTTATAAAAATTCTATGTATTTTTTCTGTATTTTTGGACAGTAGGGGTATTTTTGTCATTTTGAAATTTTGTGGGAACCAATTATAGGCTTTAATTTGTCTAGTTATAGTTTGTTTATGTTTAAAATTTCAAAGTCATTGCATAAGTAGGATTAGAGTTATTGAGTCTTCTTTGAATTGAAATAGGATATGACAACTTAGTTTGAGTCCTACTAGGATTATTGAGTCAAACAGTTTGACTCCTAAGACTATTACGAGTCTAACAATTTGACTCCTAGGACTATTATGAGTCTAGCAATTTGACTCCTAGGACTATCATGAGTATAGAGTCTATAAATATGTATTGACGTTTTACACAAAAGGCAATGAAGTTTGAGTTTTCTTCAGCTTATGCTAACCATGGTGAGTGATTCCCATGCCCTAGAGTGATTCTAGGCACCTTGTGAGTGATTCCAGGTATTTTTCTCTCTTCTTTCTCTCCCTATTTTCTCTCTTATTCCTTCAAGAAGCCATTACAGCCATCAACAACCATGAGACTCTGATCAAAAAGACCATTTAACATTCTCTAAGGACTAGAAACTGAGCTGGTCCTACATCAGTTTGGTATTAGAGCTAATGGTTTATTCACTATGTTCTCACAAAGTGATCGATTCTATAGGCCTAGGGTATCTTCTAAACAATCTTACAGGTCTAAAATCAATGATGATTGGGTTTCTGAACCATATGAAGGGTCTTTGGTTGACTTATTTGAGAAGATGGTGGAAGAAAACAGATCTAATAATGTTATCTACAAGAGTAAGGTTTTCAAACATGTTAGAAGAGAAAGGGAAATAGCAGATTTCAAAGGAGATGATCCACAAGCATTCTTTGACTGGGTTTCTGAACTAGAAGAATATTTTGATTGGCACGATGTGTTTGACAAACAAAGGAATAGATTTGCGCGCATAAAGCTGACGGCTCATGCTAAAGTATGGTAGAGAACTTTTGAGCAATGACTAGAAAATAGAGGCGATGATCCAATTAATACATGGGTTGAGATGAAGAGGTGTTAGCAAGAAAAGTATATCCCACTAGACTTCCATGATATATGGAGTTGACTAATTTCAAGCAAAAGAAGAAGCAACAGGTTACAACAAAGAACTAGAACTCAATGGGAAGAAGGTACAAAGTTAAAAATAAAGTAGAAGTTGAACAAGTTAAAGAAATTCAAGTGCAAGATACAAATGTGCTGATTGTAGTAGATCCTAGTAAGGAAGTAAGTGACCTTACCTTTCAAGTTCAGCTAAAACTAATTCAAGAATTACAACCTGACATAGCACAAGTTCCACCAACATCAACAATGGAAGGAATCCTAGAGTTTGTTGAAGAACCAAGGATAGCAGAACACATAAAGATGGTGATTCCTAAGCTAGGGGTTGAAGGAAAAGTTCCAAATGTTGTAGTTGATGAATTAAGTGTTCAAGAAACTAATGTTATTGATGATTTAACAAAGATGGTTACGGAAGGTAGTGTTTTAGAAAAACATTTCTTTCAAGATCCTTTTCTAGTTCTTTGTGTGGCCTCTACTCTACAGTCCAAGCATGTAGTTGTGGGAAGTCCTACACTCCTTTTGTAATTGGGGCATATCAACTTTTCATCCTCAAGTTCTTTGGAACTCAAGGACGGGTTTTTTTGAACTGGTGGAGAATGAGCCAGGAGCTGAACAGTCAAAATTGGAATTTTATGAAATTTTATGTATTTTTTCTGTATTTTAGGACAGTAAGGGTATTTTTGTCATTTTGAAATTTTGTGGGTCCAATTATAGGCTTTAATTTATCTAGTTATAGTTTGTTTATGTTTAAAATTTTAGAATCATTGCACAAGTAGGATTAGAGTTATTGTATCTTTGAATTGAAATAGGATATGACAACTTACTTTGAGTCCTACTAGGATTATTGAGTATAACAGTTTGACTCCTAGGATTATTATGAGTATAGAGTCTATAAATTTGTATGGACGTTTTACACAAGAGGCAATGAAGTTTATGAGTTTTCTTCAGCTTATGCTAACTATGGTGAGTGATTCCCATGCCCTAGAGTGATTCTAGGCACCGTATGAGTGATTCCAGGTATTTTCTCTTCTTTCTCTCCCTATTTTCTCTCTTATTCCTTCAAGAAGCCATTACAGCCATCAACAGCCATAAAACTCTGATCAAGAAAACCATTCAACATTCTCTAAAGACTAAAACTGAGCTGGTCCTACATCAATTCACCACCTTGATTTTTACTTTGCTGGCAAGCCTAAAGCAGTAGACTCTCAAAAGTAGGACAGCTAGTAGGCCTGATAAAGCAAATACCCAAACCATCACTAGCAGAAGACTGACCAATGGAAGAGGAATTGAAGCTAGACCGAAAGAATGGGCTCAGGATCTTGTGTGTGTGTGTGTGTGTGTGTGTGTAGGGGGGGAGGCTCAGGTAGGTTAGGTTGGATCTTGTTAACTCATATTCAACACCTGTCCACCTTTTTTAGGAGTTAGGACATCATGATCTATTTCTAATCCGTAGCAATTTATTCAAATAAAAAAAGATCTTCAAGGGAGCAAAGTAAAAGAAAAAGGAATTTTGTTAACTCATATTCAACACCTGTCCACCTTTTTTAGGAGTCGGGACATCATGATCTATTTCTAATCCGTAGCAATTTATTCAAATAAAAAAAGATCTCCAAGGAAGCAAAATAAAAGAAAAAGGAACCTTTTGTTGCCACACTACCCTTTATTAGTACCCTATGGTGTCTAGTATGAATCCAATTAGTATGACTCCTCCATCCCAAGGTTGGTGCAGAAGAGTTCTAATTATGTTCATCTAGAATTATGAAGAATTTCAAGACAGACTATATTTCTGCATACAGCTGACCCCATATCATTGGGAAGGCTTAGAGGATGATGATGATGATGACCATATTTCCACATGCATTATGCCAGTCTTTTGTTTGGGCAGGGTGTTGTGCTCATTCTTAGTAGTCTCCTGGTTAGAAATGTAGTTTGCATTACCTTTGTCATTCTTCCTGGGTCTTCACTGGAAATTTAGACTACCATCATCACCAGCCTTATCCCACCTAAATGTGGTTTGGCAGCAGACTATCCTCCATTCCCTTCTGCCTAAATTAACACACAAGTGTTTTAAGTCGAGACAATTTGAAAACTGACTGCAGTATACCAGGGTTAAAGATCTCATCAAGGCACAGTACAATGTTAATCACATAATTATTCTGATTTTGATCCTCACTATCACAAGTGCATAACGCGTGTCTTGTATATTCTAATTATGGTTCTTGATGTTACAAATTTTACTTATTATGAGCTTCACTTTTAACTTCAGTGGCTATAACTTACAAGTTTTAATTTTGTACATATTTACTTTATGTTAGAAGCACAGTTGTTGCCCACCAACCTGAACATTGCATTGTTACTTGATTTTATACAGAGGTAAAGCATGGGTATGATGTGCAGCTTGCTGAAGATGATACTTAATTTTACATGAATGAAGCAAGCCACAGAGATGCAAATTGATATCAATGATAAATGCAAAATAATGAACCTGGTTTGGATTGATTGATCCCATCTATCACATTCATTCAAGTTACAACATTAAAGGTATTTCAGTTGGTCTTTTTGAAGAGCAAGTCTGAAGAGTGGTCCTTGTGTTCAGAAACCAAAACTGTACTATATGTATTTTGTCTTTCTTTTATCTGCTTCTTCCCTTTTTATGGACTTGCTGCAAAATGAGCAGAGAAACTGAAGCAGACAGGCTGATAGTTTACAGAGTGAGAGGTTGTGTATATAAAACCCCCTACAGGGTTCAACATTTTTGTGTGAAGATAAATATTTCTCATTTTGCTATACTTCTCTTTTCTGTTCAATCCTAGCACTGGTGATGTTGCCATGCAAGATTCTACTTAAAACACACTTGAAATATTTGTATCCACGAAAATAGTCCAAGTCCCACTTTAAAAAAAATATAGTTTAAATGAAATCTCATCCTTATTTTTCTTCTTCTAAGATTAGGTACATGGTATTGTCGTTTAGGAAAGGTAGGTTCCTAATACTATTAGTTAAGTAACTCAGTTAAGGTCCGAATTCTTTTCTTTCTTTCTTTCTTAATGAAGCTTATATGAGCAAGAACACTATACATGTGAATAATCCAGTGACTCTTATCAGAGTCTATAGCTACTATGATATCCTTCTACAGAATGCGAAAAATATGTTGGAATTGGGAAGAAATGAAAGAAAAAGAAGGAATAATATTCACAATTGAAAGTATAAAGGATAGTTAAATTACAACATGTTTGGATAACCTAGTTTTGAGCTTTGGGCTGTGGTAAACAAAAATGTGACAAAAAGTATGGTGAGTGTTTCTTTTTAAAAACATAATCTAAAGTCAAAACACTTTTAAGCCACACAAAGCCTAATTGGAGTTTTGTGCTTCGAAGATTTAAAAACACAAATCCTGAAACTTATCCAAACGCAACATCAGTTCCTCGTTTTAATTTATTACTCTGTAGTTCTGGAGTATCAAGTGATGCACAAAATTGCACCTTCAAATCCTTGCAAAATGAATTTGGATTTATGCCTTAGTGCCGGTGTGGCAATTGTTTTTTAAAATAAAAACATGACAGCCCCAAAATATATAAACAAATCACTTTGTTTAGAAGGACGCTAGGAGTAGTCCTATCTTCCTATCACTGTCATTAAACTAAAGAGAAAATTCAAGTAAATTATTTTCATGTCTAATTTGGCTCCTTGAATGGACACAATAGATCATACGTTGGATAGGATGTTTTGGACCTTTTGGTAGATGAGTCATCTAGCAATAACGATCTAGTCTGCGGACCAATAGGGATTCTAGTATTTGTTTTCCATCACGGGTTGACAAAGCCCATAGCAACTCAATGGTTCTAAGATTTAATGGACGGTTTGAATTGGCCACCTCAAAAGAGATTTGTCTTTAAAAGGAGATGACCACCCACTTAACAAAACAATTGTCTTCGAAGACATAGATGATGAGTCATATCTGAGTAATGAATTGAAGTGTTATCTGAACAGCTCATCTAGATCCAATTCAGTCAAGAGGACCTTTCGGATAACTAGGATATGTCAGCTCTATACCCATTCCAATGACATAAGTAATCAGAACTACAAGTTAAATTTTCTTTTTCCAACTTCAACCCCCCCACACCCCCCCCCCAAAAAAAAAAAAAAAAGAAAAAAAATCATGGTTCAAAGTATTGATGCATATCATATCTGCAGTTTCAGGGTCATCGAAAACACTAAATATTAGTATTTAAGGGGTTTCTATAGTTTTAAATATTATTCCTAGTATATTTATTTTTGAAATACTGAACTGAAAATTTATAGAGAGAGAGAGAGAGAGGTTCTGTTTGAAAACTCAAAGCATGTGATTTTTGTACATCCCAAACTGATACTTTGAACCATGCTCTTGATAATGGATTATTGAGGTAAAGGTTGAGAATGATGCAGCCAACGTATGAAGACTTTATGGGTTGCCACATAAAAATTTCTTCGCCTTGAAAATCTCTTTGCTGGATGACTAGTCTGCCAATCGCGTTCCCAAATATATTATATCAAAGGAAGCTTTACTTATTAACACTACTAGCAAATGGTGTATATAAATAATATATACTGCAAATCCAGTGAGGATGATATATAATAAACTAAGGCACAGAATCCGTTTGGATTGAGCAAATTGGAGGTAGATATCATCTGAACTAGATACAGGGTTGAGGCGAATGGAGATGATAAGCACCAGAAAGCTCCCTTTCTCTATACCAACGTGTTAACCACGATTCAATCTCACACTTCCGTCCATGGATTAACATTGCAACCATTGTTTATTTATTTATCTAAAACCCATGAATTCAAACGCTGTCTTCTCGTTCCCTTTCCATCAGCTTATGTAATAAAGAATGGTATAATACCATAAAGCAACATCCTCTCGAGATCTCCAAGAGATCAAATACCCCCTCCCCCCGTGTTATATAAGTTATAAAGTTAATAAGATCAGTTTTAATGGTATATATTAATGTTAGGAATTGTTCAGGCAATCGGTTCCGTTTTACTCCAAACCTGGTTACTGTTCAAGGATTTTTGACTGTTTTTTATTTTAATTTTTTGTTGGAATGAACTATCCATTCAAACCGGGCGGTCGAACCATCAACCCGGAAACCGATGACCAAAACGTTAAAACATTGGTATATATTAATATGCTCATAAAAAACGGTATGTGCTGATTTTTTAATTAATTTAAAATATTATGTTACATACTTGTGTTCACAATAGATCCTTGTTCCATTCAAAATATTGGTATGTACTTTGGATGTGCAAAAATTGCATATCCAATCAGTACTTTTTTCTACTTTTTCAACTTGATAATTTACAAATTACATATATTAAGATGTTTATTGATATTAAAATCCATTAAAAGGTTCCTAACTCTCAATATTATATTTTTTGGTAAAACTAATTACTCTCATTATTCAGCATTTTGATGATAGATGAACCATGTTTATGGCCAAACCAGAACACTTGTCACAGAGACGCGGTGGATTGGCCGCATGTTCAATTCTTAAGTCCATATCAACCACATATGCCCAACCTTATATTGATTTATTAGTGGTTAATTTCCAATTTTCACAACTAGTAGTAATTGTTTAAGATTTTAAAAATTTTAATATGAAACTTATCTATAAAAGTATATTTATTATGGGCATATGGCAAGTTGAAAAGAGGAACTCCAATACTCCATTTGAGCCCCAAATTACTCGTTCCCTGCTTCATATATTAGCCTTTGGCCAATCCAAGGGGCTTAATTTGCAATTCCTTGTAATCCAAAGCGCGGATCTTGCGTTAGTTGGGTGGCCTATTTCTTCATTTCTTTATTAACCATTAAAGTCTTCCTCCAACGTCCAAAGCAATTTCCTTTCCTTTTTCAACTTCCCAACTACCTATATATATTTACACCACACATCACTCTATTCCTTCATCACCAACAATTCACTATCCTCTCTCTCTCTCTCAGCCCCATGGTTACCCCTCAAAATCTTTCTTGGCTCAACTGCCAGCTGAGAATCATAAGAGCGAAAAATCTCGATTTCATATCGACTGGAAACCTCTTTGTGAGATTCTATCTCTCTGCTGGAAATAACGGGAGGGTCCGGCTTAACAGTCGAGAAATCCCATCAACCAGTGACGACCCGTACTGGAACGAGTCCTTCTCGTTGGAATGTTTTGGAACCCAAGATCCCATGGAGGTATTCAAGCAACAAACAGTAACGTTCGAGCTTAGATGGAGAAGCAAAGCACCGATTCTCGGGAAGATCGGCGGGTCTAAGCTCTTAGGTAGAGCAGAAATAGCTTGGAAAGACGTGTTGGATTCACCCAATTTGGCAATTGAGAGATGGGTTACTACAATTCCCACGAACAGCCGTGTTCTCGAAGGCCTGAAGCCACCTGCACTGCAGATAGAGATGACGATTCGAATGCCCGGAACGCCGGAGATAGCAAAACAGGGGAGGGAAGCAAGGTCGACGAGGTGGAGTGAGTGTGGGTGCAAGCACGGAGACTGCAGTGGTGGAGATGACGACATTTTTGCACTGGCGGCAGCCTTGGAGGCGTTGTAGGGCTGTAGGGCTGTAGTCCCGTCATCTCGTCTGTGTGCCAACTGCCGAGATATGCAGAGGCAATTTCGATGGACTTCACCTATTGGGCTTTTTGGGCCCATATCTGTAATTTGGGCTTATTGGATTCATTTTGATGCATGTACATACATATACAGTTGCACCTCTTCGTTTATCATCAAAAGACACACACTGAAAGGAATTGGGATCTCCTCCTCACCAAGCGCTTCACACCGACTTTACAGTTACATCCGGAATATCCCCCTTAAATAATAAATACAAGTACAACAGATGTTTCAGATCTGCGGTTGATATGAGGCGCGCTTTGTAAGGAGCACATCCAAACTCTACCAAACTGTACACTAATAAATAATGGAGACTCAATTCCCAAGAGTAGTTCCAATAAACAACGAGCTTACGCCTTTCATGGGTTTCTTCTTCCTGAGAACAAGGTAGGGCCCATGAAAAATATGTCCAACTTTCTCTTGTGGAGTGCCCTTTCATGAATGTAAGGCTCAGTTTGGAAAGAGTATAAATATAAAAATATATAGTGCAAATACATGTAAAATAATACAAAATTCACAGATTTGCACTCAATATATTTGTATTTGTACTCCTTCCACACTTAGCCTAAAGTCTGAACACATTTGGACTTCGGAGGGTTAATTTTCTAAAAAAAAACACACACACACTTATCTACTATGTTGCGGTACACGAGTTTATGCAATTCCTTTGTTTTCTTCCTCCCATAGATGTCAGACTTGTGAAGAAGAGATTGATCGTATTTTAATTTGTCTTGCATTATGTCCCTGTTTGGGATCCATCCATGTCTGCTGGGAAAAGGAAAGGAGTAGTGGAGTACAAAAGGCGCATCAATGAGTTTCCTAGCATTACTCCAATTCCAGTGTCTTGCACCAAAGAAAGAATTTTGTAAATTTTAGACCTTATCTGTTTTTTTAAATATTTCAATCCATATCTGCTCCAAAATCCGTAGTGGGTTGGATTTTGAGAATCCAAATCCTCACTGCACATGAAAATGCAAAATCCTCTCCGATCTTATTCTCCCTGAATTCAAGGTTAGGAGTATATTGGGTTTAGAATTTACATCTAATTTTTTATTATTTCTTGTCATATATAAATAATAAATAAGTAAAATAACACAAATAAACAATAAAATTTTCAATTATTTGATTAATATATATAAAAAATACATAAACTAGCAATTATCCTTCACAAAAAATTCAAAATATTATTAAATTCAAGACCTAGTATATAAAGTTTATATGCTTTCCAACAACATATGGGTCAGGAAAGACCGGGTTTAGCCTAATACCATACCCTATCCGTGCCCGTACAGATTGTAAAATCTCAAAACTTGTCCCGACTCTAAAACCCATTTTTGAAGAGAAAAAAACATCCTATCGGGGAGAGTAGGGGCAAATGTCCACCGGATAAGGTAGAAATTGCCATTCTTAATGTTCGATAACGCTGAAACAGAGCCTCATATCGGTTTTTTATAGCTTGTATTAATGTCTAAATCATACTTCTGAAATTTGATAATATATCTGATTTTAGTAAGAGGTGGATTATGTGCGTAATGTGTTTAATAAAATTTCAGTTTTATCAAATGGCACTGATTTATTACTGGGCGTATTGACTACCAAACACAAGCTTAGACTTACTAATTCATCAAGGGTAAAGCACAGAACAGAGAATGCTTTTCACTGATAATCTTCTGCAATGAAAAACAAAACAAAAACGATTCAAGTGTCATGTTTCGTCTTCATCAAGCTAAAGCCCAATCTGATATTTACCTAAAGTATTGGGCTTGACATCGGTTTGGGGCTTTGGGCTTTGCAGAAGTCTGTATCTGTAAGGCCAAGCCAGCCTCTAGTTATCACCCCACGCTTTAGGCCGAGTCTTGATTTTAACCAACGTTTTAAAAAATGATTTGGAAATGGAACCGTTTTGGACACTGGTTTCTGGGTTAACAGTCTGATTGTTCAGTTCAAACGGACAGCTTGTTTTGACAGTAAAATTAAAAAAAAAAATAAAAAATAGTTAAAAATCATTAAACGGGTCGATAGTTCAACCACCTGGGTCAACGGTTTTTGACCAGATTCCGGGTTTTAGGTAAAACGAAACCGGTTGCCTGGATGGTTCTCAGGCCGAATGGCTCGACCGTCTGGGTCAACGATGGTTCGAAAACGTTGATTCTAACTCCCAAGTCCCAACGGTAAAAATAAAATAGGTTGGCCAAGAATTGGGATCTGCTCCTCACACAGGGCACCTCACTACGATCTCATAGGCACATCCTGTCGTGTATTGGGAACATCTCCCATTAATTATAACACATAAGTATGGGAGATATTCCCAATGTATGGAGGGATGTGCCTGTGAGGTCGGTGTGAGGCGCCATGTGTGAAGAGGAGATCCGGTCTCATTGGCCAAGACCATGCTTGTCCCATTGCCATGTGGGCCCCAAAACGAGTGGGTTTTATTCGTTCTTCAAAGGATTAGTCCACATAAATTACAATGCCACATCAGATTAATAAAGATATAAATCTATAACCCCTCTGCAGTGCATAATTAGGGGTGGATTCAAGCCGAGCCGAGCCAAATAGAGGTTCGAGCCCGAGCTCAATTCAAGCTAGAACCTTGAGCTCAAGTCAAAAACTCGTAAGCTCGAGCTCGATTTGAGAAAAAAATGTTTTATAAAAAAAATTATATATAAATTTTTTTATTTGATATTTAAAAAATTAAGAATTATAATATTTTTATTATATATATTATTTTCTATATATATGAGAGCAGAACTCGAATAACTCGTAAAAAGTTTGACTCGTGACCACCCTAGGCATAATTCTTTGAATGCCATTAGGTTACTTTTTCAACTTTCTGAAGTAAACCCCAAAATTCCTTATCCATCCACCAACCAGACTTAATCATTTGGGAGTCGAGTTTCACCATCTGTCGTCTTCATTGTCTCCAGTTTGATTGTGTTACTGGTTCATCTCATCAGAGATCATTTATTTTCTTTGTAAAAATAAGATATTTAAAGGAAGTTTTTGTTCTATGATTTACCTACTTGGATTTGTAGTTTTGACTAAGAGAAAAAAATTGGTTATAGGATTGTAGACAGAGCTTTTTTCTGTGTTATGGTAAAATAAACAGGAGAAAGAAGAAAAAAAAACAGTGATGCACTTTACGGTTTTTTTCACCATAGACGAAGACAATGGATGGTGCAGTTCATGGAAGATGTAATCTCTTACCAAATAATGAGCTTCGATGGTGGGAATTTTAATTTTAGGGTTTTGTTTAGAAGATGAAAAAGCAAATTAACGGTGCTTGTAATGTTTTACCCATTTTCCGATGCGATACTGAACCCATGTGGATCAATCCTGAACATTTTTAGGGAGAAAGGGTCATTTTTTTAAGGAGCTAAAATCAACCCAAAGTGAGCACCCTTTATTGAACTGAAATCATTCAACTCCTTAAGTGTTATCTTACTGACTCATTTGGTTGAGACCTGGGAGAACCCACCTCAGCCACCCAGGTCAATGGAGAACCCACCTGATAGTTGAACTGGGCTTAAACATTGGGAGGCCACCAAAACCAAGACCTGCCAACAGACTTCAAAAACCTAGGTCTAGCTAACCAATGATCTGAAAACCTTAAATATGTTTGTTAAGTAAAGACTTTTTTCAAACAGTTAAACAAGTATAACAGTACAAGAAAAAAGGAAACATTCTTCAAATATCATACTAATCTAACAATAACGATTTTAGAATATGGTGAAACTATTTTTCCCAATAAATCTTATATGCAAATTATATTTAGGCCCCGTTCGGTTTTTTGGTAAGTTACTCTGTACCAAAAAATCGAACGGGGCCTAAAATAATTTGCCTATAAGATTTATAGAGAAATTTAGTTTCACCATATTCCAAAATCATTATTGTTAGACTTATTTGGGTAAGTGCATTTACTCGTGTTCTTTTATTTTTCATGTAAGTAAGGCGATGACCATTTTAGTCATAAAAATATGTTATTAAAATGACATTTTTGTCCCGTTCAAGTGTTAGCAGCTTTCCCCCAATGTGGGAAAGTTATTTATCCACCTATGACCCAGGAAAATAAGCTTTTCCTGATCCTCACATAAATTTGAAAAAATAACATGAGTTTCTTGGTCAGCGGGAATCAAAACCCCATTGGCCAACTTTTCCCTCTCTTAAAATCCTAAAAAAAAAACAACCCCTTAAAATCAAAGGGGTGCAAGTTGGGTATGCAATTTGAATATTTTACATTGCACTAGGCTCAGGTTTTCAGGCTAGCCCCATTCAAATTTTGGTAAAATCCCAACTTGAATTCACCCAAGTTTCACCCCTAAAAAGAAATTTAAAAATATGTACTTTTAATATATTTAAATATATATAAAACCTATGAAATCTTTTGCCTTTTTATGTATATTTTTTTCAACTATGAAAAAACAGAAAAGTCAATCCAATGGGCACTTGGGCCATTGGATTAATTCCCTAAGGGTCTGTTTGGTTGTCGAGAAAGGATGAGATGAGAAGAGAAAATTTATTTTCTCAATTCTGTCACATGTGTTTGATTGTTGAGTCCAATTATCCTATCAAATCTATTTCCCAGAGTTTGGTTGCTAAGAAAACATTCACTAGAGACGATTGGTTCAGCAGATCTAACACAGATTTGAGATGGCTGGTTCAGCAGATCTAACACAGAGTTTTAGATCTAAGACAACGACATACATTCATTGGAGATGATGACGATGGGGTTGTGACCGTTGAAAGGTTGGAGCTCGGAGACGATGGGATAGTGACTATTGGAAGGCTGGAGCTCGGTTAAGACAATGGAGACATGCATTGACAATATTTCCGCACAAAGCTTCTCGGTATTATCGTTTCTCAGTGGGGTCGCACCTATTTGGTGAGACCCCAAATTCCTAAATTTGTGATATGGTTTCTCGTTGAATCTCACTATTT